TGTAAATATTTACGAAATGGTAGCCAATCACAGGTTCCGTTACAAACAAGAGCTGTTCATTCACAGAATATTGGGTACTACGCATGCATTGCCAGGGGAAAAAATGCATTCCACGCACCAGACGGAACCGGGTAACAGTACGTGTATGTACTTGTGCTTGTTTAAGTGCATGTAAACGAGATAACTATATAATAGCTGATATGGATGCGAGTGAGTTTCTAAACAGACTTCGGTATCAACATTCCCTTAAATTCACTTTTTTATGGTAACATATAACACGGAGTTTGTGCCATCAATTTTTCTAATTTAATGAAAAGGTAAACTTGAGTGACTTTGCTCGTCACGACCATGGAAGTTTAACCGACAATTCAGAAATGCAATCGTACTTTACTTTATTTAATATCAAGGAAGCAAGGAAATCAAATAAAGTACTCCGGGATTAATAGTCTTCCTTTTTATTTTTCACCACACTTTCTTTAAGATGAAACTTATAACTATGGAAATAAAATCGTAGATCCAGCAACTTACTGAATACGCCATCGACTGTCAGACGATTTCTGTAGAATTAGAGCCCTACCACTGATCTTAAAATAAGGACTGGATCGAGCTTCCTATTGTTTGCGGTTCTCATTTTCTGAAGCCCGCGACTTTTAACTAGCGCCAATTTGAGTCGTCCTCAAATTTCGCTAACCTATTGCAATAATAAAGTGAAAACAGGTATAAGTATCGTGAACCAGTGTTGTGCTTTTGGCTGCTCAAAGCGAAAGAAAAAGGATGAGAGAAGTAACAGTGAAGGCAGTAGCGACGAGGAATCACTCACAAAAAGGCAGTTTCCCCGGACTTTTCATTTGTAAATAACTTTAAAGTTAGTTAAAACTTTGTCTAGTCTATAGGCCTATCTGTCCTTCCTGGAGCTTTTCTTCCCATTACATTCAACTCAGAAATATTTACTATGAGAAAATGCGTAGAAAGATCAAATGCGTAGAAAATAAAATGCGTAGAAAAATAAAATAATCTTAAAACAACATAAAATAAACTTAAGTATGATTCCTATAGACTGCAAAGTGAAATACAAACCTGAAAAGGGCTGTCAGTTCTTCAACAATAAAAGCTCGATCCAGTCCTTATTTTGAGATCAGTGAGCCCTACTAGTAGGCTCCCCCAGGTGTGTGTTTACACCTGCGACGACGTAAACCCCTTAGAAAGTAATTAGGAGAACTGGTAATAGTATCTCTGCGCAGATGGATGTGCCATTCTTATCGATGTCAAAATGTCCTTATGCATTTATTTACAGACTAATTTACAATGCAGCTTCCAAGTTAGAAGACATGCCTTGCGCAGGTGTTTCGTGTGTCGAAAGTTCCCCTGTTTTATGCCGCCCTGTTGCGGTGCTGCTTTCTTCCCCAGTCTTTTCTGCCTGATCCGATAACGGCGCTCCAACAACAGACTTTTTTCTGCTAACTGTATTCATTACTTGCTGTAAGAATAGTATGATGATTATAAGAATTATTGTTATTGTTGTTATAATCATTACATCATTATTTTTAATGTAATAAAAATACAATTTTGTTATCTACGTGATAGGGAACTGTCTTGGAAGGATGGATAACGCTGAATACAGTCCACCGGTTTCTTCAGTTATTTCTTCCCCATATCTTTTGCGTCATTTAAAAAGGAGCTACCTTCTGTCTAACCTACATGCGTTATATCTATATACGTCATTCGTGTATCGTGTTTATTTGTTGTTACTCATTAACATTATGGTATAAATATGAATCTTTTATTTTTTAATACCTGTAGTTCTGAATCTTTTATTTTTTAATACCTGTAGTTCTGAATCTTTTATTTTTTAATACCTGTAGTTCTGAATCTTTTATTTTTTAATACCTGTAGTTCTGAATCTTTTATTTTTTAATACCTGTAGTTCTGAATCTTTTATTTTTTAATACCTGTAGTTCTGAATCTTTTATTTTTTAATACCTGTAGTTCGACTGTTGTTATTGATCAGTTTTTTCATCATTATCTAGTTCGTCTCTGCTGCTTCAATGGACATCATCTTTGCTATGCAGTAAATTAGCTATTTTTCTTAACTTAATCATCTCCCTTTCCGTTTCTTTTCTTCTTTCTTATCTTATTGTGTCGTTCATATTTGATCATTGATTGTATTGTTAATTAGGTAAGATTAATTGCGATGTGTAGATCATGTGTAAATGTAGGTTAGAGTTGAGGAATCATATTTACAAGCGTTGATATTTCAGTGTTAGAAAAAAAAATATTGATGGCATATTCTTGTTCTATATTATAAAATATTTATTGCCTAAAAATTACTAAATGGTGTGTATATGCATAAAAGGTTCATGTTGTTTAGATGCAGATAGATTGGCTAAGCTGATTTTAACACACACGCACATGAAAACGCACACACGCACGTGTGTGTGTGTCTGTATTTAGATAAAAAGGTAGACAGGTAGATAGATAAATAAAAGAGATTGATGAATAG